TGCGAGAGGGCACAGGCCGGGCTGAGGGACCCCCTTTCCCCCCCGAGTGCACAAATTTTTGTGCACCGGGCCTCTAGTATAAAATAAATATCAAAAATATAAGTCTTTGTTTTACTATGGTTGCAAATATCAAAAAACTTCTATATGTGACACGGCACCAGAGTTAAGTTAGGGTTTTTCAAAATGCTGACACGCCGAGCTCAAAAGGTTCGCCATCACTGGCTTAGGCTCTAATTTGAAGATCCTGATTAAATGTCTCTACATTTTTTCACCTGAAATTTTTTGAGTGTTTTTTTTTAGTGTTTTTTGAGTGAGATAATTGTAGTTTCACATTCAGTGGTAATAAATATTACCCAAAGATTCTGAACCTTTACCCAGTTTCCCTGGTGGTAGCATCTTCAACCTCACAGTGCATATTATAACCAGGATATTGGCATTAAAACAGTCAAGATAGTATAATTGGAGTGGCTCAGTAGTTGAGCATTGACCTATGAACCAGGAGGTCACGGTTTGATTCCCTGTCAGGGCACATGCCCAGGTTGTGGGCTCGATCCCCTTTGGCAGCCAATCAATGATTCTCTCTCATAATTGATGTTTCTATCTCTCCCTTCCTCTCTGAAACCAATAAAAATATTAAAACAAAAAAAAAAATAAAAAAGTCAAGATACAGGACAATCCCCTCACTGCAGGGATTCCTCAGTTACCCTTTTATAGACACACTTCTGCCTCCAATTCGTAAGTCCTAACAACCACTACTCTGTTTTCTACATTTTTGTCATTTTAAGAATTCTAGAAATGCACATATACAGTAAGCAGCCTTCCTTTGGGTTTTTTCCCCTCCCACCCCCCAGCATAATTCTCTGAAGACTCATTCAAATTGCTGCAGTATTTTTTTTAAATATATATTTTTGATTTTTTTACAGAGAGGAAGGGAGAGGGATAGAGAGTTAGAAACATCGATGAGACAGAAACATCGATCAGCTGCCTCCTGCACACTCCCTACTGGGGATGTGCCCGAAACCAAGGTACATACCCTTGACCGGAATTGAACCTGGGACCCTTGAGTCCGCAGGCTGACGCTCTATCCACTGAGCAAAACCAGTTAGGGCTGCTGCAGTATTAATAGTTCATTTGGCCCCTAAACTAGGGGCCCAGTGCACGAAGTCATGCACCTTGAAAGGAACTGTGGTCCCTGAGGTTGTGGTGGACACAGGGGCAGGTCTTGGCCCATCCTCCGCACCCCAGCCCACTACGGCTCCCGGTCCCCTGTCTGCCCGCACAAGCAGCGAGTGGGGCTGGTGCTGTCATCAGGTACAAGTGGCGGTAGCTGTTGCCTCGATTGCCCCACAGGAGTAGGGGGAGGTGGTGAAGCCCTGAGGGACGATCAGGGCCCACAGTCGCCGCTTGCACCTGCTGACGGCACCGAGTGATTGGGACTGGCGCTGGGCGCTGACAGCGGGTGCGAGTAGTAGCTCTGGCGCTGGCTGCAGGTGCGAGTGGTGCTGCCAACCCCGATCACTCCTCAGGAGCAAGGGGAGGTGGAGTAGCCCTCAGGGGTGATTGGGACCAGTAGCCACCACTCGCACCCACTGCCAGCGCCGAGAAATCGGCACTGGGTGACAGCAGTGGGTGCGAGTGGGGCCGGTGCCGGCAACAGGTGTGAATGCCCGGCGGGACCATGGCGCGCAGGAGCAAAGAATATTCAGTAACCACCAGAGGCTTACCCTGATGACAGTGACTGGCACCCCACCTTGGTCTGGCACCCCCGCTCACCTGTTCCACCATCCTGCCACAGCCAATGTCTGCAATGTTCCCCTGCGCCCCCTGGTGGTCAGTGCACGTCATAGTGACTGGTTGTTCAGTTGATCCCCAGTTCAGTCTATTTGCATATTAGGGTTTTATATATATAGACTAGAAGCCCAGTCCACAAATTCGTGCACAGTTGGGGTCAGGCCAGCCTGGCCCCAGTCGGGGCGGATCAGGGCCAGGCCTGTCGGGAGGAGGAGATGATGGGAGATTGGCTGGCCGGCCCTCCCCAGTCAGGGCTCCATCAGGGCCAGGCCGACTGGGGGGAGGGGCCATGGTGATTGGCCCCGGGCCCAGCCCCCAATTGGGTGGGGGGGCCAATTGAGGGCAGGGCCAGCTGTGGGGAGGGGCTGTGGGCGGTGGGCCGACTGGCCCCACCCCTGAATGTAGTGGGGGTGGCGATTGGGGGTCAGCGGCTGGGGGAGGGCCTGTGGGAGGTTGGCCAGCCAGCCCCACCCCCAATTGGGGTGGGGGGGCTGATTGGAGGCAGAACTGGCTGGGGGAGGGGCTGTGGGCTGATGGGGTGGTTGGAGCCCATTGTGGGTGGGGCTGGCCAGGGGGAGGGGCCTCGGGAGGTTGGCCCGCCAGCCCCACCCCTGATTGGGCAGTTCGCTAGCTGCAGTGAGCATCCTAGGGACCGGTTGTTCAGCTTTCCAGTTTTATATATATATATAGATAATACTGCATGATATGGATATAAACCATTTACCCATTGAAGGGTATGTGTTTTGCTTCCAGTTTTGCATGGATAGAAATAAAGCATCCAAGAACATTCCTGCTCAGATATGTGGGGAGTTTGCGTTTCTCTGGGATTGATTTCTAAGAGTGCTACTGCTGGTCGTATGTTGCTTTGTTAGCTTTTTAAAGAAACAGCCAAGCTGTGTTTCAGAGTGGCTGTCCAGTTTACATGTCCACCAGCAACATATGAGTGATCCAATTTCTCTGCACCCCTGTCAGCATTTGGTGGTGGTGGTATTATTATTATTACTGTTATTTATTTTAGCCAGTCTGACTGGGGTATATTGCTATGTCACTGTGGTTTTAATTAACATTTCCCTGATGGCTAATGATGTGGAACGTCTTTTCATGAACTACTCAATCAGCTGTGTCTCCTCTTTGGTGAAATGTCTGTTCATGCCTTTTTGGTCCATTTTGTAATTGGAGTGTTTCTTTAAAAAATATATATACATATATATATAGAGAGAGATTTCAGAGAGATAGAAACATCAATGATGAGAGAGAATCATTGATCATCTGCCTCCTGCATGCCCCCTACTGGAGATCGAGCCCGCAACCGGGGCATGTACCCTGACTGGGCATCAAACAGTGACTTCTTGGTTCATAGGTAGATGCTCATCCACTGAGCCATGTCAATTGGGCTGGAGTGTTTCTTTACTGTGGAGATTTGTGAGCTCCTTCTATACTGTAGGCTCCAGTCCTTGGTCAGATATGTGGTTTGCAGACGCTTTCTCCCGGTCTGTAGCTTGTCTTTTCATCTGCTTGACAGGGCTTTCCACAGAGCACAAGCCTTCCGTTTTGATCAGGTTCCACTGGGCAAGTTTTTCTTTTAATGGATTGTGCTTTTGATATGAAGTCCAATAACTCTTTGTCCAGACCATAATCCCAAACATTTTCTTCTTTCTTTCCCTAAAAGTTTTATTGTTTTGGTTCATATTTAAGTCCACTTTGAGTTAATTTTTTTGTATAAGATAGGTATTTTAGATTAATGTATTTGTTTTCCCCTATGGATGGTCAATTATTCTAATATTATTTGTGTAAAAGACTACCTTTCTCCATTGAGTTACTATTCCACTTTTGTCTCCATGTTATAGCCATTGATAGGCCAATGACTGTGCAAGGTAAAAGCCAAAAGAATTTATTTTAATTACTATATTGTTTTATGATACCTCTGGATATTTGAGAGGCTCTCTCTTCTTTGACTACCAATGAGGTCTTTAAACTGTATTGGACCCATGATTCCCATATCTGATTGCATTTGAAATTAGAGCATGTGCTGTGAATGCCTGTATTATTTGAAATGGTTGAGATTTTTATCTCTGGGACTTTTTGCTAAATATTTCTACTGATACTGTTATTAAAACATGAATAAATTTGCCTTCGAATACTTCTTTTCTTTTGATTCCAGTAATTGTCAGAATGATATAATGCGCCCATTGTGGAAACATTTTTTTTAAAATTTTATTTTCCAGTGCAACATCGCTTTTATGGATTCTGGTCATTTCACAGGTGAAAACATCAACAAGGAAATCTTTAAATGCAAATGTCATTACATCATACCTGAGTCCTGGGTGTTGCTGAATCCAGCCTCTGTATTTTCTTCCAGATTTATCAGCGATGCTGGTTAGTATTCAAGAAGGCCTCCAGCAAAGGCCCCAAGAGACTGGAGAAATTTTCTGACGAACGCGCTGCATATTTTAGGTGTTACCATAAGGTAAGATCGATTGATCTGGCTCTTCAGTTCATCTGTTCACAAGTAGGTAACTCAAGTTCATTGACTCTGAAAACCTCTCCTGATTATTTGACCAAGGTATAAATAATCATTTTTCCAAACACAAAGCATCTCTAAAGTAATATCTACTTGCTAATTGTTTAAAATACTTGTTGTTTTCCAATCCCATGTTTTGTAAATTTTCAACTTGCGTACTAAACCCCACTTCCAACAACAGAGCCTTGAGAGTAAGAATTGGATCGCATGGAATGTAGCCCAGTGCCTGATGCAGAATAGACCCTCATGCAAGATCCTCAGTTTCTCCTAATCTGCAGTGTATTCCTTCCAATGTGTTGTTTATTAGTGTTATGTCATTCTTTATTTCCAACTGTTCTTTTTTCATAGTTACTATATCTTTTTTTCATGCTGTTGATCATCTTTAACATCATACTCTGAACTCTGTTACAGGTAAATTTCTTATCTCTGCTTCATTTATCTCTTTTTCTGGAGAATTCTCTTGTTCTTTCATTTGGGTGTTTTTTCTTTGTTTCCTCATTTTGGCTATCTGTTTGGGTTTGTGACTATGTACCAGGTAGATCCTCTATGCCTCTCAAACTCTAGTGCAGGACAGTGTCAAACACTGTTTCTAACTAATTAGATCAGGCAAAGACTCAAAGTCTCCAGAGAACACCTCTACCTACACACTGATAGGATTCAGATTTGAATTGCCCCCTCCCTTCTAGGCAATAGTCCTGAGATGTGGGGAGAGTTTTTTTTTCAACAGGGTGGGGCAGTGGCTTCTGCGTAGCGTTTGGGGCTGGGAGGCTAGAAAACAGGTGATAGGTAGAGGAGGAGGAAGTCCCGCCCATTCATTTATTTCTTTAAGTTTGATGAATAAATTTAATTCAGATGTCCAGTTTTCCTAGCAGTAGTAGTGAGACTTCCTTACTAAAAATAATAATTGTGTGTTAAAATGTTTCATTCAGGAGTAGAAATTTAAGGTAATTCAAGGTATATTTACTAATTAGATTTACAAATTAGGCACCTCTTTCCCTCCACATGGTGATATTTTTCATAGTCCCTGTTATCAGGCAGCCTATGTAAAAGCACATGGGATCACTTCTTTTCCCCAAGGCTCTGGTTATTCTCATGCTGGGAAATACTACTCTTTTGACTATGGAGGAACCATGCTTATGTTTATGATAGAATATTTTGATTGTGTTGGTTTTCCATATTGAAGACTCTTATCCTCATTTGGTGAGAAATTACCAGGGGGCTACTTGCCATTTAAAATGTTATGTGAAACCAGTAGATCCATCAGCATGGAAATCTGGCTATGAGGGAAAGTGAATAATCTTTCCTTTCGTGCAAATTCTCCTGAAGCGGCAACTTCATAACATCTGATTAAGGGCCCATGTTGACAATTTGGTTTATGCAGTAAATTACTATGGTAATTTGTCATAGCAGCCAGAGCAGACTAAGATAACGAGCACACTCTTGTTCTGTCTGGTCCCTGATGTCCATCAGTCCTTCCTTGTTTTCGTTGGGTCCTGCATACATCTGGAAACACCCGAGTCTTCACAGTCCCCTCTACCTGCCTTCCAGGATTTAGAAAAATAAATGGGCTCTGCTTTGCTTGCAGACCTACACATGCCTAAGAGAAGAAAGAGGACAAGCAAGGAATACTGCAGAGAAACTTCCCCAACCCACCCCACCAGCATGTGGTGCTGGCTCTGTGGTCAATATGCATAGTGACTCCAAACACTCCTCACACTCCCTGTTGCTACTGCAGTGGTTCCAGCCCCTGGGCTGCCTAATTCTCAGCCTAGAGTCTGTTAGAAACATACGGCAATCACATCATAATACCCAGCTCCACACCCTCACCGAGTCCTTCTAGTGGACTCACACTCACAATCTGACTCCCTGTGGCCTGTTTAACCTCATCAGCTCAGCTTCCCCAATCCCACTTTCCTCGGTTCTGGGCACACTGGGCCCCTTGCTTTCCCTGGGGTAGGCCAACCACAGTCCTGCCTTTGAACTTGTTTTTCCCTTTCCTTGGAATACTGTCCCCACAAATATCCACCGAGCTCATTGCCTTACTTTGCTCAGGTCATTGCTTACATTTTCTCAAAGTGAAGCCATTTCTTGACTCCATGATTTAAATTGGGGTCCTTTGACCCCTTCCCCCCATCTCACTTTACTTTTCTCTTGAGCACTTAGCACTACATATGTACTTAGTACTTGGTTGCTTCTTATTGTCTTCACCACTGGACCATCCTAAAGTAAGGTCCACAAGGGTAGAGATTTTTGGGGGTGGGGTTAGGTGTGGTTCTCTATTAGTTAGCAGAGCCTAACACACAGTAGGCACTTTGAACAGCATTGGTTGGGAAGCAATGAGCATTGTCAACTCATGGAATACAATAGATGCCTTTGTGTTAAACTCTTAGTTCACTTTCCAGAAAAAAAAAATCTGTACTTAAGACATGTGAAGCCAGGAGCAGGGATTTTGATCTGGAGGAAATGGGATGAGTGATGACAGGGGGGAGGAAGCCAGGATTGGGAAGTTTTCTGGGGATAGACTTAAAGGGAAGACCGAAGTGGACTGGTAGTTCCCCTTTGAATGTGGAACAAGCAAGGGGAGATTGAAGACAAGCTTGCCCTATTTCAGACTTCTACCTGCTGGCTTTGGACTTTAATATGTAAATCTGCGAGGAACGTGGTAAGCCAATTCCCTTTCATCTCTAATAACCATTAACCAGAGTTCAAAGCATTAGAGGGAAGAATTATCTACATCAAGCCTCCAAGCCCTTGATGAGTTCCTGCCGCCGATTCTTTCTTCCTGTTCTTTCAGATCTGATACATTCAGTATTAATCTCTCAGGGGCATAAAAACGCTGAAGTGACTCCGAGATATGCATTTTTTAAAATCTAAATGCTGTGTAATTTATGAATCTTGATAATAACAGGCTGGGGGTTATACGTAGCACACCGTGACCAGATTTCAGAGTTCATGTGGCTCTAAATGAGGCCGTTGCCGAGAGAAATGAGGCCCGCACACTCTGCTATTTGGTCAGTGCTGGGGCGGTGGGACCTAGGCAGGCATACCTTTCCTCTAGGAAATCGGTAGCCTTTCTGAGAACACAGTCCCGCTGTCGTGTCCCTTTAAGAGATATTACTAAGGAAAAAATGCCAGTTTTGCACAGGATCCTTCTTAGAAGTTTTAAAACAAGAAATTGGCTGTAGACTTCTAAAAGTTGGTGCCTTCCTCACTGCACATGTAGCTAACGGTGCTCTCGTGCGAAAATGGGAAAGTAAATATATGAATAATGCACATACAGAGCAGTTCATTTTCCATTCCTTTACCTCGTCCTGAAGCGCCCGCCAGCACTCGGCTGTCAGAGAGGCTGTGAGTTTGATGAAGTGTAATTGCAACCGTGGGAAGGCGCCAGTGGCTTTAAATAGAGTTCCTCCCGTTAGACACAAGTCCACTGTTTTCACTCCGGAAATCAGAGTCGTTCACTCTCACCCGAAGGGGCTGAGCGTTTCCCTGCGTAGTTTACTTTTTTGTGCTGAGGGACAATTGGGAAGGGGTCTGAGTGGAAGGAAGACCAAGACAAGGCACGTGGCGTGGGGCGTCTGCTGGGCCCGTGTTTGGGACCCAGCTTTCTAACCCTGCCTTTGCTCCTTCAAGCGTCTTCGCTTCTGTGTAACGTGGCCCCCAAGGCAGGTCACATCATAGCTTCTCCACGTCACTGTGGGATCCAATTCACCTTGGACCAGAGGACGGACCCAACAATTTCTCTCATATAAGCGTTTCCCGAATTGTGCGCTGGAGGGTGCGGCAGAGGCGAGTTCTGGGAGGACCAGGTTCTGTGGCCACGGTTGCGGGACGGCTGCTTTTCCTTCCCATTCCTGAGATGCCAAGCCCACGGGAGTTTATGGGCACTCGGGGGGCGGGGGTGGGTTATGGAGACTCGGGGAGTCCTGCTGTTAGGAGAGCAGAGCCATGGTAAGGCAGCACTTCCAAAAGCGATTGCCTGTGGAGCCATCGTTTTTATTAAGTCACATATTCCAGGGAACAGCACATCTCACTCTGAGGAACCCCGTCTTGAGTGCTGCTTTGGGGGTCACCTGGTTTACTAAAGTCTGCTGGGCCCATTGTTATTTCAGCAAATAGGAGGGGTCTTCCCGCTCCACCGAAATCAGAGGGTCCACTTATATGTCGAAGGGGTAAATGCAAATGGCTGTGAAATGGAAGTCCCTCCAACTGCGGGGGACGGTGGCCATGGTTACCTTTGTCGTTCTGCCGACCTTTCAGGCTCCTGGTTCCCTTGGTCGGTCCTTTCTTAACGACCAGGGCACGCCCCCAGACCCCAGGCTTCACACGTTGCTCTTGTTTCTGCAAAAGTAGGATTCCGGTTCCTCCCACTGAGCCAACGTCCTGGCATCATTTCTGGAGAATTCTACCGGCTTATCTTTCCCAGTGACTCGCTCTTTTTTACGCGTTTCTCCCTCCTCTAAAACACGTCCTCTTCTGATGTAGCTGTCTCCATCTTTTCAAAATCTTGAAATACAGCATCACCTCTTCTCTCAATGACTCCCAGTACTTTGGTTTTTTTATTATTATGGATAAAGCTGCTGTGAACATTCGTGTACATATTGTTGTATGAATATAAATTTTTATTTCTCTGGGATAAAATCCCAAGAGTGAAACTGCTGGGTCATACGGTGGTTCCATGCCTACTTTTATGAGAAGCTGTCAGACTATTACAAAGCGGCTGCACCATTTTACATTCCCACCAGCAATGCTTGAGGGATCCAGTTTCTCCACATCTTCGCCAGCTTTTGGTGCTGTCTCTCTCTCTCTCTCTCTCTCTCTCTTTAATTTTAGTCTTGCTGATAGTGAGATCTCATTGGGATTTTAATTTGCATCCCGTAATGGCTGGCTGATGAATATTGAACATATTCTCATGTACTTATTTGCCATCTTTATCTCTTTTTCGG